CATCTCCACTCAACTACTCCTAAGGTTGCCAGTTCTTATCCTTTGCCCTAAGGAAACCACAGGTAGTCCTCAATGTATAACCACAATTTATCTGGCTAAGTAAAAAGATTTCCTGAATTTTGCCCCATTTTATGACTTTACTTGCCACATTTGTTAAATGAATCACTGTGTAATGCGGTTGTTAAGTGAATCAGGCTTCCCCCTTGACTTTGCATGTCAGAAGGTCACAAAAAGGGATCATAGAACCCCGGGACACTGCAACTGTCATAAATGTGAGTCAGTTGTCAAGCATCCAAATGTAAATCACAGGGCCATGAGGATGCTGCAACCGTCATAAGTGTGAAAAATGGTCATAAGTCACTTTTTTCAGTGCCATTCAGTTGGTCACTAAACAAACTGTTGGAAGCCAAGAACTACCTGTACTTCTGAAAATGACTGCAGATGTACAGGTATTGTAATAGATCAATTTGTTAAATGTGAGATTAACTTAGTTGTTGCATTTATATTTCATCTTTCTTCTGCCATTAGCGTAGAAACTGTATTGGCAGCACAATGGCACACATTGGGATAGAGATGTCTCCTTATTTTATCCCGATAACAATAAATACAAGAGATTGGACTGAGGGCTAGTCATTGGTCCCAACTAACTTAGTGAGCTTTTTGATTAAGGGAAGATGTCCTACTTTTCCTTGATCCCTGCTATTCCTCACCCACTATGCCACACTGATACTCCAAGAGAGGCGATAAACCATTTTAATATTAGCTAAATGATCACCTGGTTGAACTGCTATTTTAGTTCAGCAGGAATGGGCAGTAATAGTACTGTATTAATATACAGTGTATATTAAGATACCATAATGAGAACAAGAGGGGAATCCCATAATTTCAGGCCAGAGCTTTAAAAACATCTCCGCTGTTTTACTTTGGGGGTATTCACATATGAAAAGGGCTGTTGCACAGCTGAAAATACAGTTTTCACACTAATAATTTGTGCTGTCCTGCAGCATCATTCAGCCATTGCTGTGCAATTAGACCACTGTATAGGAGAACAATCACCCGGCATCAGATCAAAAAGCTGGGTGATTCTTTTAAGGCAATTGCTGAATGACAAACTATGCAATCCTATATTTTGCACAGTGAAAATATGCCTCAAATGAAATGCTACATCTTTTTATTTGTTAATTTTTAATGGTGTTGTCCCAAACCAATAAGGTCATCATGTTTCATGTGGTATACCTAAAATTAGCCTGTATAGTCTGCTTGTTTATAGTCATGAGGGAACCCTTCCATGATTTCCTTTGTGGTTTGACCACTGTGCAATTTGCAACCCATCAAATGAAGTTAAAAGAAGTTCTATCCAAATGGATAAAATGATTACTCAGAGTTTTAAGTTGGTATAAGCTCTCTATTGGACAGGAGAAAAGTTAGTCAGAAAGTGAATTATATCACTTGTAAACTACTTTTTCTCACTGTGGAGAAATACATATGCAAATTTGGGTGAAATATTCTGCATGATTCTCCCTCCAAAAAGATTTATGCCCTGCTGGTGGGGGAAAAAAGCTTTGTTGAACTCAATGGGCTTCTGAAGAAAGCTGAAAATAATTGTACTCCAAGTATTTGCGGGGTACAGCACTTGCTGGTCTTATCTAACAAGTCTCAAAACTATTAGGAAAGAACTGTATTGTATTGAAAAAAAAGTGGAACTATGGAAAATAGTGAAATACTCTAGGTGCAAATTCTGTAAAACGTGTGAAGGGATTGTTTTTTGTCACTCTGGTTTAAGATAAATCTCTTTGTAAAATAGGATGTTTGTTGCTCTTTTGTTAGTGTTTGGCCATCCCTGCAAATACAGGTAGTCCTTGACTTATGATAACAATTCAGACCAAAGTTTCTGTTACTAAGCGAGACAGTTGTTATGTGAATTTTGCATTTTACAACCTGTTTTGCTGCAGTTGTTAAGTTAGTAGCATGGCTCTTAAGTAAATCTGGTTTTCCCATTGACTTTTCTTGTAAGAAGCTCACAAAAGATCATCACGCGACCCAAGAACACGCCAACCATCATAAATATGAGTCAGTTTCCAAGTGATCACATAATCATGGGAATACTGCAACAGTCATAAGAGTGCAAAGCAGTCATAAGTTCCTTTTTTCAATGTTGTTGTAACTTTGAACAGTTACTAAGTGAACTGTTTTAAGTTGAGGACTACCTGTAGGCATTTTAACAGCAGTGGAAAAATCACAAGACTGTGTTGTTATGGTGCTTCTTTCATGATTGCTGTTGAACACCTAGTCATCCAGTTAACAGCCAGTACATTTATCCCAAATGTCAGCCTGGGCTAAGGTAAAGAAGGAAGACTTTCCTATTAAGAAGCAAATGCTTCGTTATAACAGCCTTCTTCTGTGGAGCTCATCAAACATTGATAGAGATGGTTTACTAGCCGTTTTAAGTCTGTTTGTAATAAACATCCTGATTAAAGTCAGCATGGCACACAAAAAATGAAAGCATTAAGAATGCATACCTTGGTACTCAGTGTTAATTCATTCTGGGAGGTGAGACCGGTACTAAACGGTTCTAGTTTAGAACCGTTTAGTTTACCATCTAGTTTAGAACAAGTTCTAAGCAAACATGTGACTTACCATGTAACCCTTTGTTTCGGCCAGGAAGAACTTTCTGTCAGTTCCTTTTCCTATGTCAGCAAACTTCCCACTGATGTCCTGTCCACCCTCTGTGGCTGTCCCCCTCCTTTAGCAGCAACCTTCCCAGCATGGCTGACTTCCTGTTCATTCCCCACAGCCATCCCCCTCTTTCTATAGCAGCATATCAAGTACTAAACAAAGGCTGAATACTGGGACAACATTTTCATGTCAAAATGCGTCAAGAACCAAATTTAAGGAGTTTTGAAGCAGTTGAGTACTGAGATATTACTATATATGAATACCACTATATATCCAGCAATTATTGAAATCTGTAAGAATACTATAGAAGTGGGGGGAGCCATAATTGTTAGTTGTTATTAAACAGACTTGAAGCTCTCTGTATCTAGGAAGACTATGTCACCAATTCATGAATATACTCTACGACAACTACCCCCCCAAAAGACAAATTACCATAATGAAGTATCTTGAGCAGATCTCTATTATTAAAGGGTATGAAACAACTGCCCAAAGTTGTATTTCTTAATTAAGCCCTCTAGCTCTAGTTTCTTGGAAATCTCGACAAAAAAAATACTTTACGAAATGTTAAATTTACCAAACAAACCACAAACTACTTTTCATTTTTATTTGTTCTTGGGATGCATTTTGACAGTTAAGGGAAAAAATGGAATGGCAGAAAGCTATTATAGCTAATTCAGGAAGACTGAATGATTTCAACTGCTTACCACAGAGAAAGCAATTAAATTGGTAGCGGTGTTTTTGCAAAAATGTGCTGTTAAATGCAGCGGTCCATCTTAAGTGGAATCAAAAGGATTTATCCTCTGTTGACAGTTGTTAAAAACAGATCCTAAAGATTTCTGCTAGCTCCTTAGGGAAATGGATACTGTAGGATACTGATTCTAGTTAATCTGATGGTCACTAATAGCTATAATGTCGTTAAACGTAATGAATTGTTTTTCCCCATGAAAATGGCAAGAACATCACTTTTTAAAATAAACTGTTTTCATCCTTATACACTCTACCTTTTACTGAGTTGAAATTCGATATTAGAATATTGGATGACTTGAAAAACTCTGCTCAACCGACCATAAAGGAAGTAATTTTCTGCTTCAGAAATAATATCTTAAATATTATCTTAAGTAGCAAGCAAAAGAGAAATATGCTTTTGTATACAATACACAGAACAAAACCCAGTTCAGTTTGATCAAAAGGTACATCTGAGATGCAATCATAATTCTTTTAGAAGAGTTGCTTTTTTGATGCCATTAGAACCACAGTTTTAGATGATGTTTGTATCAATTATTTCAGGGTTCTGTAGACTTTCTTCAGTCTTTGTTACATTGGTCTCGGCTGCATTGCAAGCAAAAAGAATTATAAAAATTAGAACCATAGACATTTGGGTCTTAAAATGGCAAAAGTCTTTCACTTTCAATAGATTTTGACACCTCAAAATGGTAATAAGGAGGAAGATATGACAGTGGAGTTAAGCAAAAACTAGTCTACACCCACAGGGAGTTACTAAAGATTGGATCTTCTAGTCGACTAGATATTACCAGCGACTTCCAGCAGTCTCATAATATACCGAGTGCCATAGTAAGACTGCCAGGCTCTTCATGGATCATTGTTGGGCCTAGAAGGCAGCGAAGAGAGCGGAAGCAGAAGCGGGGATGCAGAGCTGGTTTGCTAGTTTGGTTACGGAAGCAGCCTCACAGACCAGCATTACCAAGCATTTTTCTAACCAACTCTAAATCCTTTGTCCACAAAACTGATGAACTAGAGCTATGAATGGCAGCGAATAAGCTCATTCGGGACGGCTGTGTGATGATCATCACAGAGATCTGGCTTCATCCATTTGTACCGGATGCGTCATGGAGCTAACTAACTGCACCACACACTGCTTTGACAGAAACAGCAACTCTGGTAAAAGCAAAGGTGGAGAATTTTGAAGATCGACGGAAAGACGAGATGAGAGCCAGGACTGCCAGAACAAGAGGTTTATTCCAAAGAAACTATTTACAGGAGATTCAGCACCATCCATGCTTGGCAGCTATTTAAACGGGCTGTCAAACAGGGATAGCCAATGAGCGTGCCTTCTGTGGCTAGCAACGAATGACGCAGGGCCCTAGCCAATCAGGGCGCCTCTAGCGGCTAGCAACAGACGATGCCACGCCCTAGCCAATCAGGGAGTTGCCTGGCCTGTTGCCAGCCGCCAGGTCATTAAGTCGAGGACTTTCCAAGTCCTCAACACCCCTTCCCCCCGAGCGAGAGCGCATGCTCAGTGTTGAAGCATGCGTAGTCGGCGAGATAGGTGGGGCGCTGCCTGACCCACCCAGAACGCCTCAGTTCTACAGGAGTCGTCGGAGGGGTGAGTCCTGCTCAGTGTAGCTCCTTCCTAAAGGGAGTGGAGCTCCGAGTGGCGCCATCTTGGGATGGCCCAGAAGGTGGGCGCAACTCAGCAGGTAGGCCAGGCCTTGGGGGTGCAGCAATTTGGGAGGAGTCACCGTGCCGGGAGGCGGCGACTGGTGATGTACCAGTGTGGTAACTGGAGAATGGGGCCGGATCAGCTTGAGGGTGAAACGGGGATGTTGGCCAGCAGGAGGCATCTGGATAGGTGGGGCCTGCCTGGGTAAAGGCCCGGTGGTGTGAATCTGGGCACTCGAACTTGGATTGAATGAAAGAACGGGCAGGTGGAAGTCCTGCAACATTTGAGTAGGAAAGGCCTCAAACTGGAATCTTTGGAGCAGCTGGCAGGCAGCTGTGTTGTGGGCCCCTGGATCAGATGGGACGCCGGTCTCAGTGGGGAACGCTTCCTTAACTGATCCACGTGGCGTCTCCACTCGGATCCATCGGCCAGTCCGACCCTATAACAGGGACCAGTTATGGACAGAATAGAGGCAGCCACCCATTTAGCATCCCCAGAGAAAGAACGGGCCCAGACCAAGTCCCCCACTAGGAAGGACCGGGAAGGGAAAATCCCCAGGTTGCACGGCTGCTCCCCTGAATAGAGTGGCTGGAGCCTATCCAGGAGGGTCTGCAAGCACCGACCCATCAACAGCTCTGCGGGGCTTTTGTTGGTTGTTGGGCAGGGGGTGGAGTGTTGGCTTAGCAGGTAAGCTGCCACCCTCGCCGGCCAATCGCCCTGTTCCATCCAGCCAAGCGCCTCCTTGGCCAAGCAGACCGCATGCTCCGCCCGGCCATTGCAGGCCAGATGGTACGGAGTGGTGGGCTCGTGCCAGATACCCTGCAAGGCCACAAATTCCTGAAAAGTGGTGGAAGCGAATTGGAGCCCGTTGTCCGAGACTACCATGTCCGGCAACCCATGGATTGCGAACAACCGGCGTAGGGCCCTGACAGTACTCTCGGCTGTGGTGGAGGTCATGAGGACAAGCTCCACCCAGCGAGAGTAGGCATCCACCACAATCAGGAATGTCTGCCCATGAAAGGGGCCGGCAAAATCAATATGTATCTGAGACCACGGGCCTCTCAGAGCCTCCCACTCTCGAGCAGGCGCCGCTGGGGGAGTGGAATGGGAGAGCTGACAGGGAGACCAGCGGCCAACCCAGGCCACGATCTCGGCGTCCAGCAAGGGCCACCAGACATAGCTGCATGCCAATGCCTTCATGCACGCTATGCCTGGGTGGTCCTAGTGGAGCAGAGACAGAACCTGAGAGCACAGAATGGGAGTGATCACCACCCGATCTCCCCAAATCAGGCACCCGCTATGGAGGGACAGTTCATCCTGGCGGGCCTTAAACGGCCGGAAACTGTCAGCCACCTTCCCCAGAGGCCACCCGCGGAGGACCCAGGAGCAGACATGAGCCAAAACCGGGTCAGCCTTAATGTGGGCGGCCACATCAGCGGCAGTGAGGGGAAGGCCCGAGGAGGCGATCGAGAGAACGGACAAGGATGGCACCGGTGCCTGATCGGAGACAGGCAGGGGGCAGCGGCTAAGGGCATCCGCGTGCCCTAGCTGCTTGCCAGGACGGTAGAGCAGCGTATAGGGATACGCTGCCAGGAACTCTGTCCAGCGGGTCATCCTGGGGGAGAGGATGGGAGGGGTCAGCTTGTCGCCGGTCAGAAGCCCAAGGAGAGGCTTGTGGTCCATGACAAGTGTAAAGTGCCGACCATACAGATAGTCATGGAATTTCTTAATCCCGGACACTGCAGCCAGAGCCTCCTTGTCAATCTGGCTGTAATTGCGCTCCGCAGAGGAGAGTGTCTGGGAGTAGACGGCCACGGGGGCCTCCGAGCCATTTGGGAGGACATGGCTCAGGACAGCCCCCAGACCATAGGGGGAGGCGTCACAGGCTATGTCAGCAGCAGCTTGTCACTGTACTGTACTAAGACAGCCGCTGACGTAAGCATGTCTTTGAAGCCGCGAACGCATGTGCTTCGTGGCTGCCCCAGCGCCAGGCCATGGCTCAGTCGAGCAACCGATGCAGTGGCTCGACAAGTGACGCCTTGTGCGGTATGAACGGTGCGTAGAAGTTGAGGAGCACCAGGAACGCCTGCAGCTTCGCCTTGGAGGAGGGAGTGGGGGCGTTCCTGATGGCTGCAACCTTTGAAGGTGTAGGGTGGATTCCTTGGGCGTCGATCAAGAAGCCCAAGAACTCCACCCTAGGCATAACAAAGGAACATTTGCTGCGCTTCAATTTCAATCCCGCACCCCTAAAATGGAGGAGGACCTTCCTGAGCATTTCGATGAGTTCTGAGCAGCTGGAACCAGCGATCAGAACATCATCGAAATACGGAACCACATCACGGAGCCCATGGAGCAGGCGCTTCATGAGGCTCTGGAAGATCCCCGGGGCCATGGAAACACCGAATTCGAGGCGGTGACAACGAAAAGCCCCACGATGGGTGACGATGGTTTGGGCAGATGCCGCATCGTCATCCACTGGGAGCTGCTGGTAGGCCTGCACCATATCCAGTTTCGCAAAGGTGCAGCCCTGCCCCAAGGAATGGAGCAGGTGCTGTACAACAGGGACTGGATAGGGCCAAGGTTGATGGTTGACTTGTAGTCGGCGCAGATCCTGACCGACCCGTCGGGCTTGACAGGGACCACAATTGGGGTCTCCCATCGCGAATGGTCGATGGGTTCCAGGACGCCCTGCACCAGCAGCTTATCAAGCTCGGCATCAACCTTGGCATCCTGCGAGCCTTCAGCCAAATTGGTGCAACCTGGGGATCGAGGTTGAGGGAGATGGGGGTGCCCTTGTAGGAGCCCAGCCGGCCATCAAAGACATCTGCGAATTCCGCGAGGATGTCATCCAAAGAGGGGGAAGAGGCACCCACCCGATGGATTCCCCCCAATTGACAACCCCAGGGGAGGGAACCAATCTAAGCCTAACAGGACAGGCAGGCGGTCGTGAAAGTCCCCATAGTCAACCCAAATGGGGAAAGAACCCAGGGTGGGAATAAGAGTCCCCTGGTAGTCTCTGAGGGAGGTGTCCACTGGCTGCAGCTGGTCACGGCTGATGCGGGGACACAGGCGAGAGAAAATGGACCAGGACAGCAGGGAGTGGGAGGAGCCGGAGTCCACCTCCATGCGACAGGGCTGACCTTCCAGGTGAAGGGCTGCAGAGACCTTTCTCGCCCCCGCGGATGTCTGGCTGACGGTCTCCCCAACGAAATCAGGCTGAGTGACAGTGTAGCAATCTTCAGCCCACCTCGCAGGCCGCGGAGGCTGGCGGCGCGGTTGCGGTTGAGAAACAGCAGGCTGCTGAAGGAAGGCGCAGGCAGCGAGGCACGGCAGACCTGGGTGATGTGGCCTTTCTTGCCACAACGACGGCAGATGGTGCCCTTGAAGGGGCATGCAGAGCGGTTGTGTCTGCCGCCGCAGCCCACACACGCAGACGAGGTCAGAACAGCCGGCATAGGGGGAGGCTGCCGAGGTTGGGCACGGAGCTGAGCCACTTGCTCATAGTCCGGTTCCACTAGTGGCACCAGCTCATCGATGAGGCAAGCCTGAGCAGCCGGAGGAGGACATAGAGGAGGTAGAGGAGGAGGAGGCGGGGGAGATAGAGATGGCGGGAGAGGCTGCAGATGCTGCATGTCGGCCGTGGACTGCTCCGAGAACTTGGCTGCTCTGGCTTCGTCCACGGCCTGCTGCAAGGTGATCTCCAGGTGAGCCAGGAGACAGCATCGAAGGCGAATGTCTTTGACCCTGCAGACAAACTGTTCTACGAGGTTGTCCTCCAAGTCCCCAAAGTCACATTGAATCGCCGCTACTCGTAAGGATTGCAGAAATTGGCTGATGGATTCCGCCGGTTTCTGCACGCATTGGCGGAACACGTAGTGGCGGGCGATGCGCGATGGTGTGAGCATGTAATGATTTTGGAGCTTCGCCATCAGCGTCTCCCAGCCGAGGAGAGGCCAGGGTCCTCGCTGAGGCGAACATAGCTGGGTCACAGCAGCTGAGGAAGAAGCTGCACTTCTCCTCCGGTGGCAGATTATGATTCTTTGAGGCTATGAGGTAGCACTCAAAGCGCTTGAGGAACCCGGCCCACAACTCGCTGGAGGTTCCAAAGGGGGCAAATGGTGGAAGCGCTGCCATCTCTCAAGTCGCGACATGTGGGGAAGGAGAAAAAAATTTGTTCGGAGTAAAGAGCTGGTGGATGCTCCGCAGTTTGAGCGGCTTCGCAGCTGATTGTCCTCTCGTTCGTCCTCGGGACTGATTATTGGAATCGCCAGCATCCCACCTTTGTCGCCAGTTTTGAAGATCGACAGAAAGATGTGATGAGAGCCAGGACTGCCAGAACAAGAGGTTTATTTCAAAAAAACTATTTACAGGCGATTCATCACCATCCCTGCTTGACAGCTATTTAAACGGGCTGTCAAGCAGGGATAGCCAATGAGCGCGCCTTCTGCGGCTAGCAACGAATGATGCAGGGCCCTAGCCCAGTGTTTTTCAACCTTTTTTGTGCAAAGGCACACTTTTTTCATGAAAAAAAATCACGAGGCACATCACCATTAGAAAATGTTAAAAAAAATTAACTCTGTGCCTATATTGACTATATATAAAGTGTTTTTCCCACGGCACACCTTACACTATGTCACGGCACACTAGTGTGCCGCG